TGCCTGACTTCCCAAACTTTGTTAGCAAATGCAAAAGCCGTAGATGTGAACAGCGTACCTTCACTACTCACAGCCCTGTAAAACCGTACGTACAGATATTTACGCGGAGCTAGATAATTACGGAGAACTTGATGAATTTGTGGGCCATGCAAGAATGGAAAGGTCTGCCTGTAGGATTACTTCCTTTATGATGAAATTTTGAGAGGAGAGTGTTAGTGTAGGAACATGTGAGGACTGTGTATTGGTGGGGCTGTCACAGCAGAAGTGGTGTTCTTGTGAAGGATCCTGGGGTGGCAGTCGCATCAAGCTGTGGACCCTGGTTCAGGTGGGGAGGGCCTCCATCCTGCCAGTTCCGGGTGGTGGGAGTCCCCGGTGTACTCAGCACCCCGAGCTGTCCTACTCTCTGTGGTCCAAGTGTGCTGACACGCGCTAGCCCCACCCATCCGCTAACCTGTCCCTCTCCTCCAGAGGCAGAGTGGCCGTGGCCATAGGGCAGACCAGCCCGGGAGCCAGATGAGCAGAGAGATCTGTGTGCACTCCTGGCCTTGCTCCTACTACTTAGAACCAGAGAAGCGATGGGTTCCTGGAAAGCTTTCATTAACTTCTCACTCCCTGAGATCTGCAACTGATAAAACCGAGGAGGCCCTGGTCAGCTTCCCCCTGTCTAGTGTGATTGAGATCAAGAAGGAGGCTTCTCACTTTGTCTTCAGTTCTATCACCGTCCTGGAGAAGGACCACCTCAAGCACTGGTTCAACTCCTTGCAGCCCAGTCAGAATGCGGTCTTCAGCATCATCGAGCATTTCTGGAGAGAGCTGCTGCTGTCTCCATCGGAAGCACTGCTCCCTGTGACCAAGGGGAAGCAGCTGACTGGTCTGATGGCCTGTTCCCAGAAGCACCTGGAAGAGACAGCCCAAGTCCTCCACCATCAGGGCGAGCAGCTGGACAGCATCACCAAGGGCCTGGACAAGATGGAATCTGACCTGGACTTGACTGACAGGTACAGGGAGCGCTTCGGAGACACGGGTCACGCCCCTGCCGTGCGCAGTGACGCTGGGTAGGCATTGGTGAGGGACACATTCTGTGCCTGGTGCAGAGCTCCAGTCTTGTGTGAATAAGGAAGGCTACCTCATTTCATCCTGTGGGGGAAACAGGCCGAGGGGCCAGGTCACACACATGAAGTTGCTGTTCTGCATGGCCATGTGGCCGCAGGGTTTGAGCTGAAGCTCTTTGGCTCCAGGAGCTGCTGGCTCTGCTGCTACACCAGCCATTCCCAAACCAGGGACCCCCTCCAGTCTTCTAAACAGTGGGGGCCCCAAGGAGCTTTTGTTTATGTGGCTGTGTGGCTGACATTGCCGCATTTCTTTAAAAACTAAGAAAAAAAAATATTTGTCCGTTGAAAAAGTACGATAATGAATCCATGACCTAGTAACGGAAATAACTTTGTCAATGAGAAATAGCTTTGATAAAGCAGACATGTTTAGTGGGAAGAGTGGGCCGTGTCAGAGATGGCCGGGTCCTTCCACCTGCTTCTGCAGCCTGCCCCCCCACCCCCACCCCTGGGTTATCGTGTGTCCCAGGGCCTCCGGGCGCTCCCCGCATGTGCAGGAGAGCGAGGGCGAAAAGCCGAGCAGTGCCATGGTGCTGTTGTGAAGAAACAGACCCCCCCGAAGGGTCCCAAAGACCCCAGTTTGCCAAGCACTGCCCTGACTCTAAGCCGTGTGCAATGTGAAAGGGATTTTAGTGCCTGAGAGGGCTGCCTCAGAGCTCATGACAAGGTGGCGGCCTCTCGTGATGGGCCCTGAGCATAGGCAACGCTGTCTCACATCAGGGACACGTGGCCGCTGGTGCTGAGAACCCCTGGCCCCGAGTGACCCCAGTCTGCAGTTACCACCTGTGGTTATTTTGGGATATTCTTTCCTAAGTGCCTGCCTGGTGAAAGACCTAGTGCTGCAGGGAACAGCCCCAAATCTTGCCCTTAAGAGGGGTGCCTGTGGTAACTGAGGTGGAAGGTGCTCAGACCTCTGTGAGTTTTGGTCCTGGGAACATAGCTGAGCAGTTTCTGCCCTTCCGTGCCATCATGGGGTGGGGGAGGTCATGGGACTGAGTGGTGGGCAGGAGTGATGTAGGTCACTTCCAGGCCTGGTCTCTGAAAGCCTCCCACCCCATCTGTGTGCTGTCTTCCCCTCACCTGCTGGTGGCATGCAGAGAATCCTCCCCAGGACTCAGACGTGAGCTGGAGTTTGCGTCGCCACGCGGCATCCCAGTGCAGGCCAGATTGCAGCCCTCCACTGGGGGGCTGTGTCAACATTAAAATAATAAAAATCTAGGTTTCGATGATCAGGTTAATAAGAATTAAAAAAAAAAAAGAATTAAAGGAAGAATACACAGTACCAGCTGGAGGATAGTGAATAAGCGCTTTCACACACTGCTATTTGGGAATGTCTGTTGGTTAATCCTTTTGGAGAACAATCTGGCAATTTAGAAATGTTCTTTTAACAAAAGGCCAAGTGATGGGGCCCCTGGGTGGCTCAGTCATTGGGCGTCTGCCTTTGGCTGGGGTAGTGATCCCAGGGTCCTGGGATCGAGTCCCACATCGGGCTCCCTGCTCAGCGAGAAGCCTGCTTCTTCCACTCCCACTCGCCCTGGTCGTGTTCCCTCTCTCGCTGTGTTTCTCTCTGTCAAATAAATAAAATCTTAAAAAAAAAAACAAAAACACCACAAAAACCACAAAAGTGAGAAGATGAACCTGAGACTAGAGAAAATGCTTGTAGTATCCACTTGTATTCTCACCCAGGGATTCATACCCAACTAGGTAGAGAGCTCATATGCCAGTATGAGAAAAAGCCAGTTCGGTAGAAAAATGGGCAGGGCCATTGATTGGAGCGTGGGGTCGGCTGCCGTCACGGAGATCCTCAGATCCTGTGGCTTACAGAAGCTGGGAGGCTATTTCCCCCACACAGAGGTGCAGGGGAAGGTCGGCGTCCCATGCAGATCGAAGGCTCTGCTCTAGGTCACGCCCCAGGGCCCCGTATTGGCTCCGTGGCTGCGTCAGAATCTTTTGGCAGCACTCTTCCCAGCCACTGGGAAGGGGGCACGGGGAGGCCAGGGCACACGGCCTTGTTTTTAAGCAGATGAGCCCGGCCCACGAAAGGGAGGTCCTGGCACCCCAGTGATTAGAGAAAGGTAAATTAAACCAACAAGTGTAGATGTGGGACAACACCGACTGACGGTCAGGGTGTGGGTCGGGACGAGACATCTTATGTCGCTGTCACTGATGGGACCTGGCTCGGCCCCTGGCAAGACCTAGCTAAGCCGAAGGTGCACAGACCCCATGACGAAGCCCAGCATGTGTGGATGGGCACATTCACTGAGGCAGCTGTAGTCAGTCGATCCTCAAGGGGATGCAGTAATTAGTCACTACTATGTAGTTTTTGGAAAGAGGTGAGGTCCAGAGCCGACGGCCAAGGCAGAATTCTTGAGATGTCTTCAGTGCAAAATGGGGGTTTTATTAAAACATGGGGACAGGACCCGTGGGCGGAGAGAGCTGCTGCTGGGGGTTATGAGGAGCAAATGATGCTGTACTTTGGGGTGGGGTGGGGAGTAAAGGGAGGTTCCAAAAGGATCTTCATCTGCTAAGGACGACATGGGTTACCAGAGCCCTTGCTATTGTCAAACCAAGGTGGTTTTTCCTTGTGGCCAAGCATTAACAGTAATGCAGTATTTGTCAGTAGGCTGCAGGGTATAAGGACAAAAAATTTTATCTACCTTTCCTTCTGCCTTTGTTTCCCACATCACTGCCAACTCGGATTCAAGGCACTGATTCCTGTTAGATCTGCACGGACTGACTTGGATCCACCTCAAAGCAATGTTAATAACGCAAAACCAAGTTGAAGGTAGATGTGTACAAAAGCAACATTTATCAGAGTTTTTAAATGGGCAAAGTAGCAAAAATGCAGGGAGCACTGAACTGCAAAAGCCCAAGCTGGAGGGGCATGCACAGGGCCACACGTGCCGCAATTCCACAGCGAGCTCCCACAGAGCCGCCAGCGGGTGCTCCTCGTGGGGGTCTCCTGGCTCATGGGGGTCGTTGGCACGGGTGTTCGGTGAGCATGTGATGCAGTTCTGCCTTTCAGATTTAAAGGTGTTCCTTCTGGAACTCCCGTTGTCTGGTTATCGGCCGTCCTGGATTGATCTTCTGATAGTGTTCTCATTTTTCTCCTTGTCTTTTTGTTCTACTATTTCTTGAGTTTCATCTTCCTCCTACCCTTCCATTTTTGTGATATTTTTAATTTCTAAGATTTATCTTTTAATCTCCAAATGTTTCTCTTGAATAGCAGCAGCCTGTTGTTGCTTTGGGGGTTACTGTCCTCTTATCTCTCAGGATGTTCTGGAAGGCCTCTTGCAGGAAGGGCCTGGGGTGTGCCTCCCGGCTTGGGGGAGGCCTCTGCTCCCATTTCTTGCTCGCAGCTCACCATGCCCCCTGCAGTGGTGACCAGACGGAGGTGGGGCCTAGCAGCACCAGGTGGGTTCTCGTTAAATGAACTTCCAGTCTGTCGGGTTTTGAGGCCCAACTTCACGCCTGTTTTCAGAGGTCCCTGGAATTCTGTGTTTTTCCACACAGAGGGTTCTGAGGCGGGGGTAACTAGATTCTGGGGTGCTGGGCCAGGCGGTGGCCCTTGGCCACTGAAGACAAGTGGGGATGGTCACCATAATGGACAGCAGAGCCAAAGCCGTGATCAGAATAGTCTGACTCCGAGAGACCTGTGCTCCTGGAGGAGAAGTAGACGGGCAGTTGACCCAGTTCTTTTTTTTTTTTTTTTTAAGATTTTATTTTTTTTTGACAGAGAAAGACATAGCAAGAGAAGGAACACGAGCAGGGAAGGGACAGGGAGCCCGATGCGGGGCTCAATCCCAGGACCCCAGGATCACCCAGATGCCCCAGTTGACCCAGTTCATACTTTGGCCGGGTCAAGTGAGCAAGCCTCTAACTTGAATTAAAAAGCAGTCACGGCCCCTGAATCAGTTCCCAGACTTGAAGACCGAGTTTGCAGGTTCGAAACCCCTTGAATGATGGGGAAGCTGGAAGGACCCCAGTTTGCTCCTAGAAGTTTACACCTTTGGGAGCCCCTGGGTGGCTCAGGTGGCTAAGCATCTGCCTTCGGCTTAGGTCATGATCCCAGGGTCCTGCGATCAAGCCCCACATCAGGCTCCTTGCTCTGTGGGGAGCCCGCTTCTCCCTCTCCTCCCCACTTGTACTCTCTCACTGTCTCTCCTTCTCACTCTCTCAAATAAATAAAAGCGTTATTAATTAATTAATTAAAGTTTACACTTTTGTTCTTTGTCCCAGCCTTCCCCCATGGGACTTGTGGCATTTAACCAGGGTGGCCGTGCACTGGGGAGCAGGAAGCCACCAGACTTTTGGGGACCCCTGGATGCTGGAACTGACCCGATGCCAGCAGACCAGTCAGAGTAGGGGCTTCTGGGGGTCAAGGGATCAGTGGAGTTCTAACTGAGATCTGCCTTGTAGTGTCACAGTGGGCCCAGGAGGCCCCGAACCCATCCCAGTCCTGGAGCACATCATCCAGCAGCAGGCAGAATTGCACACTGGTTCCCTGACCTGTGTAGAGAGGGCTGTTCTGGTGGCCAAGCCAAGTGGGAGCCTCTGGACTGCCTAGAATAGTAAACTCTTCTTGGAGGGATTTCTGAGATCAGTGCCCCCATCAGGGACTGGAAGGGTGCATGGATAGTGAGCCCTGCATCATCTGCACTCAGCTCCCTCACTCGACGGTGCAGAACCAAGATGGATTGTCTTAAGCTTACCAGGTGGTACTCTTAATTGCCGTTGCTGTCCCCGATGCTTGAGCAAATGAACACATCCTCTGGAATGTTCTATGCAGTGGTCTGTCTGGCAAATGCTCTTAGGAAGGACCACCAGATCAGCTTGCTTTCAGCCACCAGCAGTGCATCATATCGTCCCACCTCAGGGGTATACCAGCTCTCCAGCCCTGTGTCATGCTTTATGTCACAGGGCCCTTGACTGTCTCTCCCTTCACAGGATAGCATGCTGGCCCGTTACATGGGGGATACCATGCGGACTGGATCAAGTAAGAAGTAGCAGCTATTCTAGATGCACTGGAAAGATGTTTGCTTGTCAGAGGTGGGAAAGAAATCTGACAGAAATTAGGGACTTTCATCCTCATTGAAATTTCTAGGGATCCAGTGGAGTGGGGCTTGCTGAAGTATCTTTTTTATGGTGAAGGATAGATTTTGCATCTGGCTCTTCCTACAACCAAAAAGAAGACACACCTGGGATGTCTGGGTGGTTCAGTTGGTTAAGTGTCCAACTTTTGGTTTCAGCTCAGGTCATGATCTCAGGGTCATGAGACTGAGCCCCACATCGTGCTCTATACCCAGTTGGAAGTCTGCTTGAGATTCTTTCCCTCTCCCTCCCCCCTCTGCTCTTCCCCACACACACACACATGCTTGTGCATGCTCTCTCTCTGTCTTGCTCTCTCTCTCTGTCTCAAATAAATAAATAAAATTTACAAAAGAAAAAAACAAAACTAAAAGGAGACATGGCGCCTAGTGAGCCCCTTAGCATTTTGGAAGCGACATACTCTTCATTTGGGTGTGCTACTCTGGCCAGTTACCAAGTGACTTGAAAAGTTGCTCGTTTTGAGTGGGGTTCGGAATAAGAAGGCTCTGTAGCAGGTCCAGGTGCCACCTGGGCCACATGATCTAGCAGATCCAGTGGCGCTCCAAGTATCTGCGGTAGACAAAGGTGCTCTTTGGAGCCTTTGCAGACCTTTATAGGGAGTCACAGTGTAGGATTTCAGAACAGAGCCCTGCTACAGGAGATCAGGCTCCAGCAGGCCCTGAAAGCATAGGCTAGGTCACATGGCCCCCACTCCTGCCATACCGCCTTCTCTCTCCCAGCCTGCACCGAGGGCACATGTCCTACCGGTGGAACACCCTACAGTCAGTTGACTGAGGAGGAAAATTGTGGAGCCTGGTTTACAGGTGGTTTTGTGCCATATGCAGGCATCACTCAGAAATCCTCCCAGTGGGCTGAACTTCAAGCCATGCACCTGAAAATTCATTGTGTTGGAAAGGCAGTCTTCTGCATAAAGTCTTTTGACGCACTCTCAGCCTCATAAGAATGGGTTTTAGGCCTGGAACACATAGCCTGTGCCAGACTTATCCCCTAGTAGGGAAATGGCTTTCCCTGTTACAAGCTCAACCAGTCCTCTTTTGTTCTACAGAAGCATGCATGTGAGTGGCTCTCAGGCACACCCCCAGTCTTCTGTATTTCAGACTCCATAGTTGGGGGGGGTTGGTCCTTGAGCTGAAGTGTTAGAGGGATGTACATAAGCCAGTTGTCCTGCATGGGCTGCCAGGGGCACCTGATGTCCGTGAGGTACCAGTGCCTACATTGGACCTGATTTTGTTCCATCTCTTCTCCATGTGAGTAAAGCTGGGTAAGGCGTTGCTGCATCCAGTGCTTGACCATGTTGTGTTCTGTGGTAACTCCAAGATGGCTGTGGGCAGACGTGTTTGGAGGCCCCTGAGATTGGTGACCGTTGTGTGGTACTCTGCTCAACAGTTTCCTTGGAAGGAGGAACGGCTAGAGGCTCAACTGCGTACTGATTGGCTGTGGCCAGTGGTTTGGCTGGATGTTTGGGGAATGGAAGAAACATGATTGGAAACTTCATGACAGGGAGGTCTGGGGTAGAAGTATATGGATAGACTTCTCTGAGTGGGACAAAAGGCAAAGATGTATCCCATGTGAATGCTCACCAGAGTCTCTTCAGCAGAGGAGGATTGTGATAATCAAGTGGCTAGGATGACCTTTTCTCTGGATACCAGCCAGCCTGTTTCCCCAGCATCTCCTGCAGTTGCCCAGTAGGCCCATGAGCAAAGTGACCATGGTGACAGAGATGGAAGTTATGATGGGCCTCAGCAACATGGACTTCAGCTCACCAAGGCCAGCCTGGCCACGGCCACCACTGCACACCCAATCTGGAGACCAACACTGAGTCTCCAGTATGGCTGTGTTCTCTAGGCTCTTCAGCCAGCTACTTGGTGGTTGGTTGATTGATTACATTGGACTGCTTCTTATTGTGAATCTCTTGAATGTGGCAAGTCACTTGTCTCTTCTTGCTTTCAAAACTCTGTTTTTGTCTTTGGGTTTCAACACTTTAACTATGACGTATCTCCGTGTGGATCTTTTTAAGTTTATCAGTCTGGGGGAGTTGTTGAGCTTTGTGTCTTTTCCAAAGTATTTTTGTGAACCATGTCTTTCTTGTTGTGTGTGGTCATTGAAATTTCTCTTCCCTTGTGTCTCCATTCTTAGATATCTGGCTCCCATGAAGGGAAAAGGAAATAGGGCTTGTCTCTTTGAATTCTCTCTAGCTGGAAAGCTGCTTCAGTTCATGGTGGTTGAAACCTCTATGCTAGCCTCTCTGCAATCAAAAGAAGCAAAAGGGCCCCATAGAACTCGAAGAAAACAAATTTATATATATATACATACACTAAAAATCTGCATTACACGCTTCCAACTTCCTGGAATTCCGTATCTCTCTTTAAATGAAATGAAGACAAATTGGCAACCTGGTTTTGATATCAGGAGTTTGCTGGAATCTAGTTGTAAGTAGTTTGGTTGTATTTCCATTGGCATCTGTGAGTAAATAGTGTGGCCTTGGTGTTCACGTGTTGGAAAATGGCACTCTTGAATGACAGTTTGGCTCTTCACAGTTGAGCCCTATGTAGCTCAGGACTTTGAGGATGTTTTCCATTGTCTTCCTAGTGTATGTTATTGCTAAGTTGTGTAGGATTATGGCTACTGTTTTCCCCCTATCCTAGATATTCTGAGGTGTGTTTGTAGATTTTTTTAAAACAGCCTTCTCATTTACATACCATAAAATTTACTCATTGTATGTGAACAATTCAATGATTTTTGGTAAATTTACAGAGTTGTGCAGACATCACTATAGTCCAATTTTAGGACAGTTCCGTCACTCCCAGAAGTTGCCTCAAGCCCTTTGGCAATCACTCTGTTCTTGCCCTGCCCAGGTCACCACTGATCTACTCTTTCTGTGTAGAT